TGTGTGGGTGACGCATGCGGGCGGCAGCACTGGGGCCTTCGGCGGAGCTCCCTATGGGGCCACGAAACGGTGTACTGGGTGGGTGAAGAGGAGAGGAGGAGAGGAGGAGAGGAGAGGAGGAGAGGAGAGGAGAGGAGGACGCGGGGACCGTCTCTTCAAAACGAGGACCCAACACCACAGGATGGTTGGGAAAAAATTAGCCTGACGAGGGACCCAACCATATACAGGTGTGAGTACCGCAATAGTGATTCACTTTTTCGGTGGCGATCCCTATGAGGCAACGAACCGTGCTAGGGGTGTGCCGACATGAGTGGCGTGGTACACAACGCGAACGAAAACGATTGATCTGAGTACGTAGGGAGACTGAGCGCGGGTGAATCTGCGCGCGTGCGTCTGACTGTGAATGAATCTGCGTGCGAACGAGTCTACGTGCATGATACGAATATGACAAAGCGTGGCGCAATTGTGTATGAATGTCAATAGTTTGACAATGTCTGCCTCTGAGTACTCGTGACGCTGGGCGTGGCCGCCGCAAGGAGCTTCCCCGGGACTCACCGACGGCATCGCCCGCGCGCCGCGACGCCAATGTCGGCGCGCCCACCGGCGAGGATCGCGCCCGCTTCCTCCCCTTCCTTTACTCCCTCTTTGCCCGCGCACTCAAAAGTCCAAGGTTGCGGGCGCAGCGCAGCGCGGAGTCCCCGCGACGCGCGCAGGTCGCCCCGGAGGGGTCCCAGCAACGCGCGCGGGTCGTCCACTGCGCGGAGCAAAAAGAGCTAGCTGGCTGGCTGATAGCGGGCAAGGCTCTTGCCGCTGGGCAGAGAGACGACGGGACGCATGCGGGCACACCCACTGGGACCTTCGGTGGAGCTCCCTATGGCCACGTGGAACGTGTGTAGGGGATTGCCGAAATGGGTGTGGCGGGACGCATGCGGGCAGCGCCACTGGGGCCTTCGGTGGAGCTCCCTATGGAGCCACGAACGTGTGAGGGGTGTGCCGAAATGGGTGTGGCTGATGCATGTGGGCGCGGGCACTGGGGCCTTCGGTGGAGCTCCCTATGGAGCCACGAAACGTGTGAGGTGTGTGCCGAAATGGGTGTGCGGGCTCTGCGGGCACACCCACTGGGACCTTCGGTGGAGCTTTACCCTATGGGGCAACGGAAGTTTGAGGTGTGTGCCGAAATGGGTGTGCGGGACGCATGCGGGCACACCCACTGGGACCACAAACCCAATCAACTCCGTGAGTGGAAAGCTCCCCTATGGGGCCACGAAACGTGTGAGGAGTGTGCCGAAATGAGTGTGCGGGACGCATGCGGGCACACACACTGGGACCTTCGGTGGAGCTCCCTATGGGGCCACGAAACGTGTGAGGGGTGTGCCGAATTGGGTGGGTGTGGGTGACGCATGTGAGCGCCGCCACTGGGGCCTCCGGTGGATGGGGCCACGAAACCTGTGAAGGGTGTTCCGACATGGGTGTGCGGGACGCATGCGGGCACACCCACTGGGACCTTCGGTGGAGCTCCCTATGGGGCAACGAAACGTGTGAGGGGTGTGCCGAATTGGGCGTGCGGGACGCATGCCGGCACACCCACTGGGACCTTCGGCGGAGCTCCCTATGGGGCCACGAAACGTGTGAGGGGTGTGCCGAAATGGGTGTGCGGGACGCATGCGGGCACACCCACTGAGACCTTCGGTGGAGCTCCCTATGGGCCACGAAACGTGTGAAGGGGTGTGCCGAAATGGGTGTGCGGGACGCATGCGGGCACACCCACTGGGACCTTCGGTGGAGCTCCCTATGGGGCCACGAAACGTGTGAGGGGTGTGCCGAAATGTGTGTGCGGGACGCATGCGGGCACACCCACTGGGACCTTCGGTGGAGCCCCCCATGGGGCCACGAAACGTGTGAGGGGTGTGCCGAAATGGGTGTGCGGGACGCATGCGGGCACACCCACTGGGACCTTCGGTGGAGCTCCCTATGGGGCCACGAAACGTGTGAGGGGTGTGCCGAAATGGGTGATGACGATGATGATGAAGATGGGAGGAGGGAGGGGGCAGCGGGAAGGAAGGAACGCGGGGCGACGTCTCTTCAAAACGAGGACCCAACACCACAGGATGGTTGGGAAATACTCAAAAAATATTCCGAAAATAGTCTGGGGACTCTTTTTTGAGTATGTGTTGACCCTCTTGGGGCATGTTTGGAATATTTTTTTATTTGTCGTCGAAAATCCCCCTGTAGGGGGACACGCCCGACATAACGCAAGACCCGGGGTCTGCTCGCCCAGCCACACCGCTGGCCCGATGCGGCGTCTGGCCGCCCCTGCCCGACCGACCAGGAGAGTCGGGGGCGCGCCCGCCCGGCTCGCGGGCCCGCCGGCGAGACAGCCAGAGAATCGATCGAACGACCTTCTACGTACAGGGCAGTTTTCAATACATACGATATATATATATATATATATAGTATTGTTTTGTTGTTGCTATTATTTTTATATCAAAAATGATGATGAAGTTATGGATAAATTTGTGCATGAACCCAGCGTTGTTTTCTAATACCAAATCCCTGCATGTTTAATACATGATCCGCACGCGGAGCATGTATTAAAAACGGCACTGTACAGTCAACCAGTGTAGTAAGGATGCGCGCTAAGGATGCAGGGGCCTTGGACGCCCACTTCGAAGCTCTTCGAGCGGGGCGCGGCCAGCGAAAGCGGCGAAGCATGGACCGAGGAGGCAAGGATGCAAAAGGGTGCCCTGGGGAAGGTGGCCCATCCTTACTATGCGGACTGACTGTCATCTTCTCTCCACCTGTTTCAGTTTGCCACGCCACGTCTCAGGAGGGGGAAAAAACACACAGACACAATTAACCGTCGATGCCCAAGAAAATATGCGAAAATGTGGGGAAGGGGGGGGAAGACAAAAACCTAGAACATATGGGAAATGTGGGGAATTCTGTTATTTGTGCCTATTTGTTTGTGTGTGTGTGTGAGTCCCAGGGCCCCCTGCTGCGTCGTCTTCGCGCTCGGCCTGCCCAGGCGCTCTTTCCTCGCGCGCCGGGCAGGGCCCGGCCCGCCGCAGCGGGTCTGCAGACCGCTCTGTCTGTCTGTCTGTCTGTCTGTCTGTCTGTCGCGCCGCGACGTGTCGGTCGGGCGCCGCGGGCGGGGCGCGAGCGGGGCGCGGTCGGCGCGAAGGAGGTCGCTGGCGCACAGGGTGCCAAGCTGGGCGCCAGCAGGGCAGCGCGGGAAAAGGCCAGCGCATGAACAATGACCACACCAGTCAACCAATCAACCAAGCCTGAATCGGATACACTCGACCAGGATAGTAAGGATGCGCGGTAAGGCTGCGAGGTTGACTGCAATATGTTAATCTTCTCTCCACGTGTCGACTGCAATCTTCTCTCCACGTGCTTCAGTTTGCCACGCTGCGTGGTCTTCTCGCTCGGTCTGCCCAGGCGCTCTCTCTCACGCGCCAGGCAGGGCCCGGTCCGCCGCGGCGGGTCTGCAGACCGCTCTGTCTGTCTGTCTGTCTGCTTCTTGGGACGCACAGAGACACACTAATACCCTTTGTCCGCCTTGGAGGCGAGCGTCCGACCCGAACATATAGTATACCCATCTTGTAGTATATCGTTTCTCGAGCGGTGTGACCAGAAAGCGCCCGCCATAAGATTTCTCGGTGCGAGCGTCGCCCCTGGGGGGTCGACGAACACATAGTATAAGTATGTTGGGGGACGCCGAATGTCTGTCAACCGATCAATCAAGCCTGAATCGGATACACTCGACCAGGACAGTAGGATGCACAGTGAGGATGCAAGGACCTTGGAGCGCCATGTTGACGTTTTCCGTGCAGAGCGCAGCAGAATGCCGAAGGATGCCGAATACCGAAGGGGCAGGGATGCAAGGGATGCATGGTTGAGTGTAAGCCACCGACACCGACCAGCCAGAAAACCAACCAGCCAACCAGCCCATCGACCACGGACGCGACAACCAGGCCAGGCAACCACCCACCACCCAACCGGCAAGCAATAAGCCAGGCCACCAGTCATCGAGCCAACCAATCAAAACGCAAGCTTGTCACTGCCTCCACGGAGACAGCCTCTGACGTGTGCGGGGAGGGATCTCGTGAGCACTCAGACATGGTCCCTAGAACACACTGGCAACGCTTGCCTCGAGCGCCCAGGTGACAGCCGAATGACGCACTCCCAGGAGGAGGGGGGAGGGAAAAGGGATAATGGAGGCGAAGGAGGGCAAAGGTCGGGTGTTGCTAGAAGTGCCCCTGGCCCACGGTGCCCCCAGCTCTTCGCTCCACTCCTGGGCCCCTGGGGCTCTCTGGGCCTCGTGAGCGGTGCCCTGGAGGCCGCCTGGGCCACCCAGAGAATCCTGGGGGTACCTTGGGCCAGGGGTACTTTTGGAGGCCTAGAAATGAGCACCAACACCAACACAGGGGGTTGCCTCCACATGGAGAGGACGATCCTAGATTTCGGTGTTGGTGGCAATATTTCGGTCACTTTGGAAGCCAGCATATTACCACCATCGCCGAGATCGGGATCTTTTTCCCTCGGCAGGTGCACACCGCCGATGTTGGTGTTGGTGTCAATCTCTGGGCCTGCGATACTTCTAGCAACGCCCGGAGAGGAGGCCCGAGCACGGAGCAGCAGGGCGGAGCGAGGGGAGCAGGATGCCAAGGCGGAGCGGAGAAGGGAGCCGCGGCGCAGCGGGGAGGGGAGAGAAAGAAGGGGAGGGAGGCCGCCGCGGGCCCGCGCGCGCGAGCGTGCACACTCGCGCTCGCACAGGTTGAGGTCGGGCCTTCCCCCCTACAGGGGGACGTTGGACGAGGAAAAAAAACAGACTCAAGAAATACTCCAAAAGGTACCCAAAAATACTCAAAAAATAGTCCCAAGACTATGCTTTCTACTATTTGTGAGTATTCCCCCCTGTAGAGGGACAGGCCCGACTTCAGCACAGGTGCTCCCGTGCTCGCTCAACGCCCGGGGGGGGGTCCCAGGGGGCGGTCCCGGTGGTATCTGCCGGCATACTTCCGCCGCAGCTGCGCCAGGGTCTGCGCCATGCCATCCTCGCGCGCCCATCCGGCCCTCCGACATCCCCTCCCCCCCCACCCTTCTCCCGTGCCTGCCGTCGTCAAAAAGCACCCTCCATGCCCTCCCCCTCCCTCACCCCCCCACCACCCAATCTTTTCCGACGTGCTCCGCCCCTCTCCTCTCCCGTACCATTCCCTCTGTTCCATTCCTCTCTCCTGTCCCTCTCTTCTGCTCGCCTCTACTCTCCTGATTTTCTCCTTACGCATCCCTGTTTCTCTGCCGTCATCCCTCCCTGCGTGCATGCACGGCCTATGTTACCTACCTGCAGTAGCCTGGCGAGCAGTCCTCGGGATCGATGCGCTGCTCCTGGCGAGGCGCTTCAGACAAGTGGGAGGAAAGCAGCAGCTTGGATTGGGCAGGGCAGGAGACTCATCACCATCATCCTTCTCCTCCTGCTCCTCCTCCTCCTCCTCCTCCTCCTCCTCCTCCTCCTCCTCCTCCTCCTCCTCCTCCTCCTCCTCCTCCTCCTCCGTCTCCGTCGATGGAAATCGCGGGATCCCCCCGACCCTGCCAAGAGAAGGGGCGCCTCGGCGGCTGCAACGGCGGCAGCGGGAGGAGGAGCAAGGGGGGCGCCAGGGCGGGCCAGGCGGGCCCACGCGGAGGAGGGAACGCAGAAGGAGGAGGAGGAGGAGGAGGAGGAGGAGGAGGAGGGGTGGGCGCAGTCTGCAGTGTGGTCAGCCGAGACTAGCGACAGCAGGCTATAGAATATGGAGCCCAAACTGCTGTACTGCAACCGAGTTTCCGTGAGACGCCCACACGCGCAGCAAACGGAAGGCGAAGGGCCCCACTGGGATCACCCACTGCGAACCTGGGGCATGCTAGCCCAACCACGAGGCGGCAGCAGGGCCCAGGAGGGCCAGCCCTCTCACTTCGCCCTGCGCACCGTCCAGACGAGGGTCCGCAGGTGGTCGAGCGTGAGGGCCGAGTAGATGGGCACGTCCACGGGCGTAGAGTACAGCGTCACGAGCTCTGCGATCAGCGCCGCACGTTCGCCAGACGCGCCCTCGTCCGCGGGGGGCTCAATCGCGCCTGCAGGTCCAGCAGCGGCCACAACAAGCGCCGAGACAGCCGTGGGCGCCCCAGGGGGCACCGCCGCCGCGCCAGGCGCCACATCTCCAGTCGCGCCAGCCCTGGCAACAGCGGCCTTCTGCCTGCCACGCCGCCACGGAATGCGGGGCGGCAGGGAGTCGGCTCAGCTGTCGTCGATCATCCCGTCCTCGTCCTCCATGGCGGCCGCGCAAGCTGTGCCTCCAGAGGCCACAGCAGCCGCAGCCACCGCCAGCACTCCAGCAGGCGCCTCGGTGCCACCGCCATCCCCGCCGAGGCAGGGCGCAGCAGTGCGCAGCTACAGGGGGAGCAGCCAAATGGCCACGCGCCTCCCGCCGCCGCGCCGCGAGCCGCCGACGGCGGCGGGCGCGCCTCGCATAGTCCTTCTTCGCATCGTCCACGCCGTCGTCCCCAGCAGCAGCGGGCGGCTCAGGCGGGCCAGCGCTCACGAAGGGCACGGCCGACACCGCCGAGCGGGCGACGGCTGTGCACCGTCCTCCGGGGCGCGCTCTCGCCGGCACCGCCGCGCGGACCGCCGCCTCGGCGAGGCGAGCGGCATCGAGCGCGGCCCGAGCCCCTCGAGGCCACGCCGAGTCGCTCGCGGGACGCGTCCAGGCCATGGAGTCGCTTGAGCCACAGTGAGGAGGGAGGAGGAGGAGGAGGAGGAGGAGGAGGAGGAGGAGGAGGAGGAGGAGGAGGGAGGAGGAGGAGGAGGAGGAGGAGGAGGAGGAGGGAGGAGGAGGAAAGGAGAGAGAAGGAGGAGAAGGAGGGAGAGGAGGAGGAGGAAAGAGAGCAGGGAGGAGGAGGGAGAGGAGAGGAGGAGAGAGAGGAGGAGGAGGAGGAGGAGGAGGAGGAGGAGGGAGGCGCAAGCAGAGAAGGGGGCGAGGGGCGGAGGGTGCGCAGGAGTGTGGGGGGGGGGCGGCGGCGAGGAGGCAGCACCGGGAGGAGGCCGGAGAAGGAGGCAGGAGGAGGACACGCCGGGGCGGGCGGCGGAGAAGGAAGACGAGGAAAAGGAGGAGGAGGAGGAGGAGGAAGGACGAAGGTAAGTGGCGACATCGGAGCCCCTCCTCCGCCTCATCATTAGCAACGACCCAAACCACCCACCACCACCAACCACCCACCAATCCTCATCATCATCATCATCAGCAGCAGCAGCAGCATCAACATCATCATCAGCAGCATCAGCAGCAGCATCATCATCATCAGCATATCAGCAGCATCATCATCAGCATCATCATCAGCATCACATCATCATCATCATCATCATCACCCCCAACACCACCACCAGCAACATCAATCATCATCATCGTCATCATCATCATGATCATCATCATCAGTCAATCAGCATCAGCATCAGCATCAGCATCATCATCACAATCATCGTCAATCAACCGATCACAGCAGCATCAGCAGCATCAGCATCACAATCATCGTCATCATCATCACACCATCAACATCATCACCATCAACCGTCATCATCAGCATCAGCATCACCATCATCCTCATCACCATCATCAATCATCATCCATGCAATTATGCATCATCATTCAGCATCATCATCATCATCACCATCAGCATCACCATCAGCAACTCAAGCATCATACATCATCATCATCATCATCATCATCATCATCATCATCATCATCATCATCATCATCATCATCATCATCATCATCATCATCACCACCACCAACACCACCATCATCATCATCATCATCATCATCATCATCATCATCATCATCATCATCATCATCATCATCATCATCATCATCATCATCATCATCATCATCATCATCATCATCATCATCATCATCATCATCATCATCATCATCATCATCACCATCATCATCATCCCTGGCCTCCTCCTCCTCCTCCTCCTCCGCACCCTCTTCCACCGCCTCCTCCTCCCTGCCCTCCTCGTCATCCTCCTCCTCGTCGTTCCCCCCTCGACCTTCTCCCCTGCCAGCTCCACACCACCCTTGGGTGGCGACATCCGAATCCTGCCCTCCCCCAACAATTCTCCCGAGTCGATGGGCGGCGGGGGTGGGGCTCGGACTGCGCCACGTGCTCGACGAGCTCCGAACCCTACCCCCGCCGCTCGTGGAGCTGCCTGAACCGTTCCTGATCCCTCGTCTCCTCCCTCGTCTCCTGCCTCCTCTCCTCCCTCCTCCCTCCTCCCTCCTCCCTCCTCCCTCCTCCCTTCCTCCTCCTCCCTCCTCCTCCTCCTCCTCCTCCTCCTCCTCCTCCTCCTCCTCCTCCTCCTCCTCCTCATCAGGCGGCGAGGGTGGGGTCCGGACTTCGCCGCCGAAGGATCAGGGGGGCGTAAGACCCGGGTACAGGGGACCCGGAAATCCCCGACGAGGCCGTCGAAAAAATGACGAGGCCGAGCCTGCATTTTGACGAGGCCTCCCGCCGCAGACATCCCACGAAGCTCCTACTCGTCAAGATCCGAGCCGCGGTCGTCCAAAAACGATGGCGAACCCGAGTCCTGGCAAACCCGGGTCTTACGCTCCCCCGAAAGGATGCCGAGAGGGGGGCGCCTCGGCCGGCATCGCGGCGGAAGGCGAGGGCGCACAGGTCGGGCTGCGGGCCAAGGTCGGAGCTACGGGTCAATGTCGGGGTGCCTCCAGGGGGGGGCGCGCGCGCTGCAGGGCAGGCGCGCAGGGGCAGGGGCACGGAGAGGGAGACGGAGACGGATTGCAGCCGAGGCGCTGCTAAGTCGGGCACGTCCCTCGACAGGAGGGATGTTCCAAAATAGTCAAAAAAAAAATGTGGAGACAATCTGCTATCCTTGACCATTTGGGAAGCAGTTGTTGAATATTTTTGTTCGTCCAGAATCCGCCTGTAGGGGGACATGCCCGACCTAAAGGTCCTACCAGAAGGAACGCTAAATCCGCCGACCCAGTCGGCGTGTGTGAGAGGCTCTTCGACGCGAGGCCAGCCCTACCCAAACTGAAGTACGCCAGCCTCTTTGGAATCGTCGTCGAAGTGAGGGAGTGATCCAACAAACGAGACGGATCGAAGCACAACGCTATCGCAGCTACGTCGAAGGCAAGCCGCTTCCCTCTGCCCTTCCCCGATGGGGCGGGTGTCTCGGGGGTGGAGCCCGGGGGGGCTGGGGGAGGTCCAGGGAGCGGGTCCCGGGGGGTCCCGGGTTCGGAGGCGCGCAAACGTGGACTAATTAGCGATCCATGGATTTGGCACCTCCCCAAAATGCGGCTGGTGCCACCCCGCTCGGCGGCGGAAGTCCGCGGTCCCCCATGGAAGCGGGACCCGTCGCTGATCCACGCCCCGTGATCCATGTTTGCGGTTGCCTGACGGGTGACGTGACCCGCACCCCGGGTGGCCCCCCCTGCGGGGAAGGAGCGCAAGGGGGTGGTCTTCGGACGCCCGAAACGGGTACGGAAAAAATGTGTACAATGCCCAACAACAAATGTTGTCCCAAACCAACAGCGGCCGCTGCTGGGCAGGCGGCCTTCTGTCTCGAGTGGACACAGGCCGCCGCGGCGCGGACAGCGAGTTCTGCTGGGCAGTGTACCCATTATTTCCGTACCCACTTCGTTCGTGCCGATGGCCTCCCCATCGGCCATAGTCAGAAGGGGAAAAAAAAACACACTGACACAATTCATCGTCGATCCCCAAGAAGATATGGAAAAAATCTGGGAACTGGGCGGGAAGACCAAAACCCAGAAAATACAGGAAAATATGGGGACTCTTTCTACTTGTGTGCACTTCTTTGTGTCTCCTTGGGCCCCTTGCCACAGGCACCTCCGCACCCCTCCTGCCGCCTCGGCCCTGGCCCTCCCGCTCCGGCCCCGCGGCCCCCGCCCCCCCGTGGCCTCAGCCTGGGCACCGGCCGCGGCCCTGGCCCCGGCCCCGGCTCCGACCACGGCCCGGGGCCCGGGCACCAGACCCCGGCCCCGGCCCTGGCCCCAGCCTGAGGTCGGGCCTGTCCCCCTTCCAGGGGGGTGTTGGGGCGACAAATGAAAAATACTTCAAAAAAGAACCCTGAAAGTGGTCAAAAGATAGTCCCCAGACTACTTCTTGACTATGTTTGAACCTTCCCCCTGTAGAGGGACAGGCCCGACGTAGCCCCAGCCTCGGCCTCGGCCTCCGCCCTGGCCCTGGCCACCTGCTCTGGTCGGCTACACGCAAGAGTGCCCCTGGGTAAGAGTGACCTTCGGTGCGCGACTGCTTGGGGCCGCGGGGGCACCAAGCCTAGGCGCGCAAGCAGCTGCCACTGCTTCGTCTCCGGCCATCTGGGGACCCCTCTGTGCCCGCACCAAAGGCCACTCTGGCGAAAGGTCACTCTTACGTCTAGTCGATCTGGCCGCGGCCCCGGGCTCGGCCCAGGCTCGCGGGGAGGCGCCGCGGCGGCGCGCCGACCCCGCAGGCGGGCAGGTGCGGACCGGCGGGTCGCGCGGGCGGTGCTGTCGCCGGGCGAGGGCACCCTTGAGCACGGGGATTGACGACTGCCTACAGGGCAGTTTTTAATACATAGGATCTGAAAAAATATAGGGTTTTTAATACATGATAAATTTATGGATAAGTTTATGCATGAACTCGTCGTTGTTTTTTATACCAGATCCCTGCATTTTGAATAGATGATCCGCACGCAGAGCATGTATTAAAAACGGCACTGTACCAGACCACGCCGAATTGGACCCGAATTTCGGGTTGAGGCGGTGCGGGTCCCATGTGTTTTTTTGTTCCAAGTGTTCCCCGACCTGGAACTGGAGGGCAAATTGGGGCCTTCGGGTCAAATTAGGGTGGTTTGGGGGGTGGTGAGGGATTGGGCGGGCGGGACATGAGCGCTCGAGAGTGCCTGGCCAAGCCTTGGGGAAGTGCCTCGCGAGAGTGCGATTCCCGCGTCATCTGAGAGGAGGCCCTAGGAGGGAGTGAAAAACTCTTCAGCGGTGAGAGCGCAGCGAGATCATGGGAGCGTGATTCCTGAACAGTTTACAACAAGTACACCCCTCGCAGGTTTCGTGGCGGAGCTCCACCCAAGGTCCACATGTCCCTACGTCCGCCAGGGAGCGGTGGTCACGGGCCCAGCTTCCACCCTGGATTCCCCACGGCCCTGCTGATCCAACGGAGCTTCCTATCGCCTCATCGCGGTCCAACTCCTCAACCGCTGGGCTGCGAAACGCCACCACCGTTCTGAACAGAGAAACTTGCAGTGCTCACGTGCGCGAGGGCTCCAGGTCGCAATATCTTCATGCTCCCTTTGCGAGTCGCCTCCTGCGCCAAAACGAATGACATTGTCAAAACAAGCCGCCTCACATAAAAATATGGTACGCATGACTCCATCGGAGGGTCCTAAGCCATTACAGACCTCAGAGAGCAATGGGCTCCTAGACAGATGCCTAAAACTGGCCAGGTATGTTTCCATTTGAAAGAATCATCTGGATAGGTTCAAGACTCCTGAACCTGACGAACCTAAAGAAGGTCGTGGCGCTCTGGGGGCCGCCTTGGAGCTCTCCTGGACTGTCTTGGGCCTCTCCAGCTGAGCTTCTGAACCGGCGGCAGTGGCTGAACAAAGTTCAAGCCCGCCGCCCCCTCTGACGCCACCACGGTGGTCGGGCGGACCAAGACGTAAGGGCATTCGTTTCGCTATCAAGAACATAGACTCGCCCTCCGCATGCACGTTTCGCTCCCATAATGGTTCAAGATGGGCTCCAAGACGGCCCAAGAGGCCTCCAAAAGGCCACAAAGAAAGCCACGGAGGTTCGAAGAGCAGACCGGGAGCCCAAGACGCGCCAACGGGGCCGCCAGAGGGCCGAAGTGGGCCGCGACAGGCCACCAAGGTGCGCGAAGACGAACCACGAGCACCCCGAGAGGCCCTCGGAGGCCGAAGCGGGGGCTTCAAGAGAAGGCACAAGAGACGGCCCCTGACTGCCCCCGAAATGGCGAGTCGATGATGTCGGTCTCACGATAAGGGCGATCAACAGGGCCCCAGGACGCCAAGGCGGCCTCCGAGCGGCGGCAGGGGGGCAGCCTAGCGAGAGAGCCTCCCAGGAGACCGAGGCGGCCCCAGGAGGCCTCCCACGATGGCCTCGGGGGGCCCCGGCATGGGGACGCACCGGGTCGTCTCCTGGAGGTTCCTTCCCTGGTGGGGTGGGGGTACGTTCGCCCCCTTGATGTTAGGGAAAAGCATCGACCCACGTCGTGAGATCGAGGGAATGTACCTCCCCAGATGTTCCCACTGGTTCAGAGGAGGGAAAGGTACGGGTACGCAGGCATTGTCACAAGCACCAAAGGCACAGGCGACTGTGACTCGCTGGAATCGCCTGCGATGAACCACAATACACGTGAAAGTGTTAGTAGATGGTCCCAACCCAAAAAACCTGCGGAAGTTTCGGATTACAATTGCCAGCGACAACACCATAGATGAACAACACGATGGAATCGCAAGTGGCTCGCCAAGAAGGTTAATAATTGTAGCCGAATGACGAGATCCCGCCGATCCCGCCTTGAGCGCCGCTTCCAAGCAAGAGAACAAAATGAAAACTGCCAAGACGAAGAACTTCGCTACCAGCCCGATGGGCACCTCCAGAGCAGCTCTCACTGCATACTGCTCAATAGATTGAAGTCGGGCGTGTCCCCCTACGGGCGGATTTTGGACGAAACACTCAAAACATACCCCAAAAGAGTCAAACAAAAATCAAAAAATCGTCCCCGGACTATTTGTTCAACTATTTTTGAACAGTCCCCCTGTAGAGGGACAGGATCGACTTGATGCAACGTGAAAGCGCCATTGGAAGGGCAGTGTCTGGGCAGGAACATACGCAGATCGAGAAGGGAAGCGAGAAGAGAGTGTGAGAGACAAGGGGGAGCAAAAGAGTGAGAGGGGGAGGAGGAGGAGGAGGAGGAGGAGGAGGAGGAGGAGGAGGAGGAGGAGGAGGAGGAGGAGGAGGAGGAGGAGGAGGAGGAGGAGGAGTGGGAGGAGGAGGAGGAGGAGGAGGAGGAGGAGGAGGAGGGAGGAGGAGGAGGAGGAGGAGGAGGAGGAGGAGGAGGAGGAGGAGGAGGAGGAGGAGGAGGAGGAGGAGGAGGAGGAGGAGGAGGGAGGAGGAGGAGGAGGAGGAGGAGGAGGAGGAGGGAGGAGGAGGAGGAGGAGGGAGGAGGAGGAGGAGGAGGAGGGGAGGAGGAGGAGGAGGAGGAGGAGGAGGATGCGAGATCCAGTCAGAACTAAGCAGAAGAGACTGGTCAGTCGGTGCAAGGCGATCAGGCGCCGGTCAAGGCGGGTAGAGATCGAAGAAACGACGAGATAGGGAAGCGAAGCGGGACAGAGCGAGAAGGATAGACCGGGATATGAAGGACATAGAGACACAGAGTGAGAGACGGAAAACCTGGGCGGAGACAAAGGAAGACGAGCTAAGACAGTTGCAGATCGAAGATCACGGCGAGACGGGGTGAGAGGGTCTGTCTCGAGAAACGTGAGGTAATCCAAAGGCTGTGCTTCGAATTCTCTTTCTGCCATGAAACATCACGGCCTCAAAATCAACGATCATGTGATTTACCCAATCTTTTGTATATGTATATATAGAGAAAGGGGAAGAAGTGAGAGAGAGAGAGAGAGAGAGAGAGACAGACAGACAGACAGACAGACAGACAGACAGACAGACAGACAGACAGACAGACAGACAGACAGACAGACAGACAGACAGACAGACAGACAGAGAGATCAACGAGCACACCGTAGCCAACCTGGACCACGCACATATATGTGCCGAATCCTTTGCCCCCCCGAAACGTTCGAGCCCTGAGCCGCAGAGTGCGCCGGCGGCGCGGCAAAAACAAAAAAACCTGGCGAGGGGCCCAGCCCGGTGCGGCAACGCGCGTGCACAGCGCAGGGCGTGCCCATCTCGACGGCTATGCTGCGCGCCGCGAGGCGGTGCGGAGGAGGAGGCCGTGGACAGACAGGCGCGCTCCACTGCACGCCATGTAGCTGCTCGGGAGTGGCCTGGATCTGCCCAGGGGGGATCTGCGCTATGCGTTCCATCGATGCAGGCTTATGTTTTTCAGAAGTCGCACCACCAACCACAGCATTTTGCTTCTTCCGGTACTTCGCCGCCGGGTTCCTGTACAAGGCGTTCCTTTGCAAGCACATCGTCTTCGGCACCGCCTGATTCCAGGGCTTTGCCCCCTCCTGGCCTTGACGTGAGGCTTCTCAATATGTCTCTCCCCCTTTGCTAATCAAAGCTATGTGCGGCCCGCTTAGCTTCGACCGGAAGAGGTGCGCTCTCGACCCGCGGATCAAAAAGTTGTTTCAGACGTTTGCGAGAATGAGTATCGTTTAGCCGATCCCCCTCCCCAGCGGCGTGGCCTGGGCCCCGCTGGCCGATCTACCCCCCCTAGATGTGGATCTAGGTCGCTGCCTGCGGGCTCCGAGGGGCGTGTCCCCAGCTGGGGTGGTAATTCGCTGGGTGCCTCGAGGGGGATGGGGCATGGGGATGGGGATCGCTCAAAGGATGCCGAGAGCAGAGGAGGAGGAGGAGGAGGAGGAGGAGGAGGAGGAGGGGGAGGAGGAGGAATGCCCTCGGCGAGAGGAGGCCGCGGAGCGAGCCCGCAGCGGGCGCGCCGGCTGCCCTGCGGGGCGCAGCGCACGAGGAGGGAGGGCGCCGGCCCGGCCGGAGGCCCCCGCGCGAGAGCGCACACGCACGCGAGGCCGTCGGAGGAGCCTCTGCCGGCGGGGCACTGCGCGCGGGGCGTGCCGGGGAGGGCCAGGGGGACGCTGCGCGACGTCGAGCAGGCGAGCGCTTTCCATGAAGTCGGGCCTGTCCCCCTACAGGGGGATTTTCCACAAAAAATGTCGAAAAATATGCAAAAACAGTCCAAAAATAGTCTGGGGACTATTTTTGGAATAGTTGTTGGGCCTTTTTGGGGTATCTGTTGTTTTTCGTCGAAGATCCCCCTGTAGGGGGACAGGCCCGACATAAGCTTTCCACTACTCGCAGAATCTCACTGCTCGCAAATGGTCTGGATCAGCCGCGGGGGATCCACGAGAAGCTGCGGCAGGGCGGACGCGTGCTCTTCGGGCGTCTGCGAGCAGGCACTCTTTGAGAGCAGCGGAGCGCGCTCGGCGATCGACGGAGCTCGCCGTGAGCTGCGATCCGTGCGCCGCGCGTGCCGAGTGGGCGGGCGGGGGGGGAGGGGGCGACTGCACGAGCCCTGCTGCTGGCGCCGCCGAGGGAGCTCCCTGCGAGGCGCGCTTCGCGTGGGAGGCCGCCGTCTCGAAGGGCCGCTCCGCTGGAGCTCCCCGGCGGAGCTCCCCGTGGGCCGGGCGGGCGGGCGGGCGCCGTGCGAGGCCCCGTCCTCCGGGGCCCGCGGCGGAGCTTCCCAGGAGGCGCGAGGCGCGGAGAGGCTGTCGAGAGGGGCGGGGGGGGGGGGCGGGGCGCCGTGCGGGCGCTCTCCGGGGCCGCAGGCGGAGCTCGGTGTGGGGCACGAGCTGTGCGCGGGGCGTGCCGACACGGGCCAGGGCAGGAGCGGAGAGGGAAGGGGGCGAGGAGGAGGGGAAGGACGAAGGGGAGAGGGTTAAGGAAGGGGAAGGGGAGAAGAATGAGGAGGAGGAGGAGGATGAGGAGGAGGAAATGGACGAAAAGGTGGAGGAGGAGGAGGAGGAGGAGGAGAAGGTGAGGCTGGAAGGAGATGCGCCGCGCTGCGGGGAGAAAACGGGGAACCGACAACACAGGAGAGTTGAGAACACCGTGCGAAGTGAGGCCGACGCCAGCACCTCGTGGAGGAATGGCACCCGCCACTGACGACCTTCCAAAGTCTTCACGGTCTACCGAACCGAATACATCGCTGCCCGTAGACCTCTGTGATCTAAATGAAAAGAACTGGAGAGATTGGCGATTCCAGGCGTCGGCGGCGCGGTCGGTGAAAAACTGCAGTCCGCCAGACTGAGAATCATGGCCATCTTCTCCACAACGCACTATGGCGCTACGATGAGATGACACTGCAGAACAGCGCCAGCAGCCTCCCACAGTGAAATCTGAACGTCTGGCGTCGCCCCGTCGTCAGCAGCTCCCTGAGTGGGCTCGGGCAGAGCCCCCAGAAGTGGGCAGAATGCTGGAGGGGCCTCCAGCCCACATGGGCCGTGATAGGGCGCCCTCCTCCTCCTCCTCCTCCTCCTCCTCCTCCTCTTCCTCCTCCTCCTCCTCCTCCTGGTCATCCCCTTCTTCTCCTTCGCCTCTTCATCCTCATGTCCCTCCTCATTATCCTCCTCCTGCACACGCCGACGAAACACCGCATCAGTGCGACACTTCACGCAGCAAGACACAAGCCATTCAGCCACAAGCGCACACCACATGATAACACCACCCCTGAGAAACAAACACATTCAACGCACGTGTCCAGGCGTGCGTCTTAGCGCCACTGCACCAAGAGTAAGCTTCACAACGCTTCGAATATTGACACTGCCGGCCGGTGGCGAAATCAGAAGAGCAAGGCGGAGTACAAAAGGATGGGATGGGCGAGCCAACAGAGGACGAGAGGAGATTAAAGACGATGGTCAACCGCAGGTTTGGCCCGAGCACCACTGCATGGTCCAGCAGCAGCTCACATGAATCTCATTTGGGCCAAGCGCTGCGGTCGTGGTGGGAGTCCAACAAATGCACAGTGGCAATACACACGGACACTACTCTCCCAGCTCATCCCGCCATTCCTGCGACACGACTCTCAAACTGCGGCAAACAACGCTATCATGTGCCGACTCAAATGTAACGCTGAATGCGATCTGGGGGGATCTTCGTTCAGTCCAGAACTTTACTTCACTCAGCGTGGAATTCCTGCATGAAACAAATGTGTGCCTGAGGTAATCCAAATAGGCCAATGGTCTGTGAGAGAGAGAAGCCGTGCACGTCAGAGGTGCGTTGTTACTCGGGTGGAACGGGGGAACCCTGGTGAAACAACAAACACGATAAGATTCACACTTCCTCACCACAGCCAAACATCGAAGTCACATAAAGCCCGCTTTCCCTGACGCGCACAGGAGTCGAAGCCCGAGCAGAAGACGACGAGGACGTATAAGAGCGAAAAACAAAGACGACGACGACGACACCGTCAAAGACGATGACGACGACAACGAGGAAGACGACCACGACGACGACGACGACGATGACGACGACAACGACGACACGACGACAACGACGACGGCGACGAGCACGCGAAGCAATAATGATGCCCGCGATGTAGATTTGATGGATTCATTCGACTTGGTGATATCCAGCATGAGCTTCCAACCGAGACGCCAAAGGGCACCTGGACATCTGTGAAGACACACCCTGTGCATGAACGATTCCCTCAACAGAAGAGGTTACTCCACCTGGCATTTCGCAAGGATGCGGCCCACTCGCTGCCATCCATGCCAGCGATACAAGCCGATTGCATACATGGCTACATTCTGAAAATATGCGAAACTGTTGCCAATGATTTCTGTGAGACCTCTCTGGCAAAGGAAATTAAAGCGTCCCTGCTGGACTGACGTCTTGCTGCAGACTACTGGTTTCTCTCTATGTCTCTCTCTTTCTCTCTCTCTCGACTTGTCAGACGCCGATCAAACCTGACCAGACAAGAACGGGAAGCGCCGCCTGTGTTCGCTCGGGTCGTAAGACGAAGAAGAAAAGGACGGATACGATGACGACACGGAGGCGGGTGAGGAGGAGGACACCGTGCAGCACGAAGAAGCAAAGACAAGGACAAGGAAATTCACGAGGTGGCAGACTAGAACAAGATCGAGGAGGATGAAGGCGAAGAAAACGACCACCAGGAGGAGGACGCCAAGATCGACAAGGAGGGGCAGGAGGCCAGCAGCGCGGAATACAAGGAGGACGGCGTGGACGTGAAGGAGAGGGAGCGGGAAGGACGAGTTCACGACATCTCGAAAGTGGAGGAAGCCGTCCGCGGGCTGAGCGTTGTGGTCACCGCCAGACCACCCGCGCCACCAGAGACACTTCCGCGCGAGCGCGAGGCCTCCCCATGGCTCACGTGTCTTCTCGCTCTCCCCATGCTGAATAATCTCAAGTACAGAAGGCAATGTTCATACTGGGCTATACAGCTCGAACGCGTCGAATACCATCTGCCCTTACGCATGATTTGCACCAGGTACCGGCTCTGGGTTACTCAGTAGAAGAACCTGGCAATCAAGCAAGCAGTGCTTCTCAACCACGCGCCGGCCTTAATCAGGACGGAAATGCAATCGCCCCAAGCGTTGGCACTCATCCGCATAATGAGGAGTCTCGTGCGGATGGCCACACAAGGTTTCAGCTGCCACCATGTATGACATCTCTCCCTTCATTAATACAGGTGCCACCGCCGCCTGCGCACCGCTCGCCAGCATTTCATGCAATTGCTCCAGAAAGTCCTCCGCTATGGGATACTGGTCGAGCGTATCTGGGCGTGGACTCGACTGGACGCGTGCTCGTCACATTGATACCCATGCGTCGTTGGAACTCAATCAGATGCTGATGGTAGTCGGCCAGATGTCGTTGGCATTCAGTCAGATGCTGTAGGCACTCCACATAATAACGTGGGTACTCAGTCGTAGGCAGGCCCTCAGTCAGATGTTGTAGATAACCAACAATATAACGTTAACACTCAGTCAGCGATTGCTGGCACTCAGTCACACGCTGTGAAACGTCAACCAGGTGGCGTTGGCGCTCAATGCGAAAGTTCATCGCATCAGGACTCCAATGTCGCTCAACCAGATACCGCAGGCACGCCCTCAGCTGGCACTCAATCACCTGAAATTGGCACTTAATCAGAGACCGTTGGCGGGCCTTCAGCTGGTACAAGTTTTGAAGTTGATGGCAGTAAAATCGTTCTTGGTTTGTGCAAGTTGCTAGCTATGCAAGGACGCACCACGGCACAGCTTTTGCAAAAATGCCCGTGGCACGCAAACCGATAAGGACAACATATGGAGACGAATCTGCTGCAACAATACACGCCATACTGCGGACGGCACTCAGTCAGATGCTTGTGGCACAAAGTCGGGCGCCGTTGGCAGTCAGTCAATTGCCGTTGGCCGTCACTCAGATGACGATAGCACTCAATCCGATGCCATTGGCACAAACGCAGCGCGCGCTCCTGTAGCGACCGCCCCTGCGAGGCCGCCAGCACCCCAACGTTGGGCGCGGCGCCCCCAGGAGGCGGGCCGCGCCCGTGGGTCTGCGCAATCGCCGCCCGAGGCGCGGAGCCCACCCCTTGGCAGGGCCACCTGGGTGCCGATTACCCCCAGGGGCGGGCGGTTGAGGGTGGAGAGAAAACGCCGCACCCCCAGCTGCCAGCGCCGACGGCTGGCAGCAAGGACCGAGAATCTCCGCGGCGCCCTCGCCGCGCACGCGAAGCCCAGCCGCCGCGACGCGGGACCCCAGCGACGGTCAAGCAAACGAACAAACAGCGCTGGCAGCGCCGCGCGGCGCGGCGCGCGGCCCCTCTCGCAGGCCGCTCCCGCGCGGCGTCGCGCTCGTCGGCGGACATGGCCGCCGAAACCCCCGCGCCCCCGTTCGCTGTCGCGCGCGCGCGCGTTTGCGCCCGCGCCGCGCCACGCAGGCGCGCGCCCTCCACAAACGCAGCGCGCGCTCCTGTAGCGACCACCCCTGCTCGCCGCCCAGGGCGCGGCGCCCACCCCCTGGCAGGGCCACCTGGGTGCCGATTACCCCAATGCCGACGGTAGCCAGGGAGCCGCCAGGAGAGGGGGCGCGAAGTCCAACGCCGAGCCAGCCACCGCTGTCGCGCGCGCCCCCCTGACGCGAGAGCTATATCCCGGCGCGCCCGCAGGTGCGCGGCCTGCCTGCAGCGCCTCCAGCATGGCGTCGCCTCTTCTCGATCCAAATACTCGAGGAACGCGCCCGAGCGCCAGCAGCCCGCACGGAGAATCTCAGCGAGCCTACCACCACTGCGGCGTAAGTCTCCGCGTGGCCACGCCGGAAGAGCCTCGCGCAAAAGTGCGCGGAGTTGCGCTCGCCGGCCTCGTGGGCGAGCCGCCGCACCAGGCCAAGAATGCACCCGCTCGACAGGTGCGCACACGGCGCCGTGCCCACCGGCGCGCGGTCGAAGATGGCACCGAGGGTGAGCACGGGGCAAGTGGTTCTGCACGCCGCGAACCAGCAGCTGCGCACACTGCGCGAGGGATGGTCGACGTGCTTGCGCCTACTTAAATGCAACGCCACCCTAATGGCGAACGCGAGAGCCGCGACGAAAATAGCCCGCGTGGCCTCGTCGGGCACGCGCAAGCATGTCGACTAAGAGCCGATGGCCGATCGCGGGCTTCGGCGCCGGCTCGTCGCGCAGGCGCTTGGACGGCGCGCGCGCCGCTCGCCTCCGCGCCGTCGAAAGCACTGCAGTCAAGGCGCACTAGCCTGCAGAAGATTGCGAAAATGCGTGGCCACAGTGCGAGCTCAGATGGGGATGGCGGCAGCCCGTCGTTGTCGCGCTCGCCAAGAACCTTGCCGACGAACGCAAAGTAATTGCGAAGGGGGCTCCGCCACGTGCCGAAGGATGCCGGCGCCCCGCCCACGAGGGCCGTCGTGCGCGCAGCCTCCAGCCGCGCGGCCCGCTGCTCCTCCGAAAGGTGGCCGTGCGCCTCGGCAGCTGCCCACACTCGCCGCCGGCCCAGCCCGCGAGCGGCTGGCGCACTCGCGCTCAAAGTGCACGGCAGCAGAACTGGCGCGGGCTAGCGCCCCGCGCTGCGATGGTCTTGCACGCGGTGCCGACTCAGAGGAGGAGTCCGAGCTCGACGACGAAACAGAATCGGCGCATAGGCGCGTCGAGGAAGGGAGAGCCAGGGGCGCGGGCCGGCTCACGCGGAAGCGCGACGGCGGAATCCCGACCGCACTGGCCGCCGCGCTCCCCCGTGGCGGGCCGGGCGGAGGGCGCGCCATGGACATCCGCTCCAGAAGCTGCTTCGCCTCACCTGATGAAGCCTCGGCGCGCGCGAGCGCAGCGCGGCCGCGCGGTCGCCACCGAAACGCGCGCGAAAGAGGCGCCTCAAAGCCGCTCCACGTCGGAACGGGCGGCCATGCCCCGACGCACGAAACGCGATAAATATTGTTTCGGCATTGCCTCCGCGGCCGCAGCCGCGCATCCGCGGCGCCATTGCGGGACCTCAAGCAAGCGCGAAGGGAGCGCGCGGCAATGCACGCGTCGCGCGCGCCCGCGGCCCGCTACGCGAGCTGCCCTGGCAGCCGGAGCCGCTGAAGCTGCGGCCACAGCGTGGGCCAACGCCACGTAGCACCCACATCGCCGAGAAGACGATGCACCTCGCGGCTGGGCAGATCGGCAATATAACTGTCTTCGCGCACGCGCGCGAAGACAGTCGCGCGTCGTGCGCGGGGCGCGCGCGTCGTCGGCGGGACGCGGAGGCGCGGGCAGGCGCCCGTTGCGACTCTGTCCACCAGCACCGACAACTGCATTGCGCGCGCGGACGCACGATCGCGCAATGATCTGGCGCGGCCGCTAAGCCACGTCGGAAAACGCACCCAGCGACCGCGTCGTCACTGCAGATGCGGACGTCGCGGCCGCCGGTCCCGTCGCCCCACGTGCACAATGCCAACCCAACTGCGAGCCATGGGAGCCGGCGGTAAACCGT